CCCCAAAACCCCAAAACCCCAAAACCCCAAAACCCCGTGAGATGATGCAAACTATTAAGTAATTAAGATAGAAATAAAAGTTTCTTGTATTAGTATTTTATTTACTCAAATCATTGTTCTTTGAACTTTTTGCTGATGTAGGAACATTTTTGTATTATTAGAGGCTGTCATCTGATGCTTTGAAAGGTTATAGTTGTTTGCAAAAAACTTAACCAATGTCTTGCCTCTAAAATTGCGGTTGAGTCTCTTAGAAGGCCTTTATTCTTAAACATTATTGCCTTGCTTTAGGTTTTCATTTAAATGTTTTTCTAGTCCTTTTTCAAAGGATTCATCATAGGATTTTTCAAATTCATTCTCAAACTATTTCAATTAGTCTTTTATTTTCTAATTCATGACAAGTTATCTCTCTTTTTGTTTTTTCCTTAACTTCAGCTATTTTTAAATATCAAGTAATTTCTGCTTTTCTTCTTCAGATAGAGCCTATCTCAAATATATATACTTCTGCCTGAATAGATTTTATATTGCAGCATTATCCATTGTATACTATTAATTTTAATATTAATCTGCTGAAGACATAGCATTGTCATCATACTACTCTAGCAAAACCTCTGGGTGAGTTTACTCTTAAAATTCAGGAGATTATCGATCTTGGCTCTAATTTTCTAATTTTTCCAAATTTTGTAATGTTTCAGTTGGTATTAACTGCATCTTCAATCCTTGAGCAGATTGGTTTTGAAATTGCTAATAATCACCAAATTAATAGTTTTGCTAGTTTTTATTTAGACCTGATTCATTTAGAATTGTAGGTGAACCTCTTACTGATAACAAATCATCTTTCTAAGAATGATCTTGCTTATTAAAAGAAGATTATTTTGATGACTGAGTTTTAAATGTGGGGTTTTATATCAATTGGTTGTTTAAGTTTCTTTTTATTGTAGGGCTTTTTCCCAGAGATATGAATGAATCGCTCAACTCATTCTTGTTCAAAGTTCTTTTGCTTGTTACAACCCTTGAGTACTAGCTCTCTTATTGATTAAGATCAGCAGATGCTTTACTATTCAATTTGATGTACTATTATTTGTTATTAGAAGCTTTTTTCTTGTATTCTGGCTTGAAATAAGAGTCAATCTTTTACTGCATCTATACCACAGGAGTGCAGATATCTCTTCTCTTAAATCTTTGATCAAAGAAAAACTCTACATTTAATGATGGAGTAGAAATCATTCTATCTTACTGGCTTAATTTTTGTGGTACTTAATAATCATTCTCAGTAAACTATTACTCACTAAGTGAATGAAACATTGATTAAGATTTATCATCACCTCCATTAGCAAATTTATGCTTTTTATCTTTAGAGTAAGACTATTATTGCTGCATTTATTAGGTTTATGGCCTATATTGATTCTTTTGAAATAACATTGTATTTTTAAAGACCTACTCTATCTCCATATACTCTCTAAGAAGTTTATCTTCTTTATTAGAACTAAAGTCCCTCATAAATCTTAGCCCACCTCTAGTTTTATTTTGTCGGTATCCATTGATCACATCTTCTGAGAGTTGATTTCCTTGTGATTTTCTATTAGGATTAGAGAATTATTACTGCTGCTTTGATATTTATGAGTTTTGTATAATTGTACTGCCACCTCCTTTTAAGTTCAGCGGCTAGCTGTTGATCATGACCTGATAATTCTGTAAATGATTGTGATTCTATTCATGTAAATGATGATGACTTTTATTTTTCTTTAAAGTTTTTTAATTTAGTAACAAGCTCTTTGATCCTCTTCCAGCATACCCTTGCAAATCCTTGAAGCTTGTTTTGCCCTGAAAAATATATCAAAAGATATTGCTAATTAATTACATATAGATTGAAATTAGGGTTAGGAACAATAACTGGAACATATAACATTATGATGATATATTTAAACAATTATTAATGCCTCTGTATAAATCAAACTATTTAAATTAATCATTGAATTCAATCAACTATTATAATAATTAAATTAAACCAAGATTCAAAGTTAAGGGCATAATTTTCAAAATTAAAAATCTAAAGACCTCTAATGAAAGACAACAATCATGACCACAATAGTAGTCAGTTATAACATAACAAGACTAAAACTCAAAAGGACTCTCTGGTATTAATGTGCTACTAGAATTTCTCCGGGGTGAGATAGGCCAAACTAATGTCAAGTGAAAAGTACGATCTGAATGACCCTGACTCTCATACTAAGTTTTCAACCTGTGGATTATTTTTACCTTGCTGCAAAGATATCATAGCCCCTGGGTTAAAGTTTTTGAATGCTCCAAGGCAACTCAAGATGGTACCTGATGCCTAATCTATAAGAAAGTCACCTTTTCACCCGAATCACAGCTTAGTATTTTCTAAACTGTAATAGCCAGACGGTAGACCTTTCGTTGGTTGTCCTCGTAATCAACTCTACAGAGCTATAGATTCTCTAAAGGAAATAGGTTATTATCTCAAGATCGGTATTGAAATTGAGTTCTATCTACTAGACTCAAAAACTTTGAAGCCTACTGAATCTAATACTGAGTCAAGTCTTACTTCATTAGTCTCTCTAATAGATGATTTTGATCAGCTGAACTTAATCATGAAGCAAAATGGCATAAATTTGGAAGCAGCCCATAAGGAATGTGGGTCTAGTCAATATGAAGCAGTCCTTAAGTACGGTGATGTAGTTAAAACTCTGGATGATTACTACCTAGCTAAAGAAATTATCACTCAGCACTTCAAAAAGAGAGGTTATGTTGTGACTTATCTTCCTAAACCATTTATGGAGGCACCCGGCAACGGTGCTCATGTTCATATGAGTCTCTGGAAAAATGGCATAAATGTTATGTCTAACGTCAAGAATAATCATAGCTTGTCAGCTGAAGGTGAGAACTTCATGGCAGGTATTCTTAAGTACTATGATGCACTTTTACATTTCTTAACACCTTCACCGAATTCATTAAAGAGGTTGTAGACTTAAAATTATGTTGGCTGCTACAAAGTATGGGGAGTAGAGAATAAAGAAGCACCAATTAGACTTATTAGCCCTCTCAAGCCCAATCAGGGCTGTTAGCAATTCGAGATTAAGAGCTTTGATAACACTGCAAACTTTTACTTCGCAATCGCTTCTACCATTGTTTGTGGTTTATAGGGTCTAAAGGATGAGTTGAAGCTTCCCTAACCTGAAAATGACGATGTTCATCTATTAAGTATAAAAGAACGCGAGTCACTTGGAATTAAAATGCTGCCAAATGATTTCGAGCAAAGAGTTTCCATTATAATGTCAGAGTAAGGTCAGCCATTACGGCACTTCTTTGGAGATGAACTGATACTTAACATTTTGAGAGTTCATCAACAGGACTTTGAGTTCTTCAAGGACATCAATCATGAAGATGAACTAAGATTATTACTTGAAAGATATTGATGATTTAAGAAAGAGAAAAATCCTAAAAATAGAAACTATCAAGTAAGTTTTAATTTACGATTAATTTCATGAACTTAATTACTTTTTAATCAACTTTATATGCTTGGGGTTTTGGGGTTTTGGGGTTTTTCTCTTTCTTAAATCATCAATATC